TTTGACATGGCGGGTCTCCACTTTGATTCCCACCTCTCTCTGTTCATTTGTAGTCTTCACTGTGGGCTCATCCTACTAGCCTGGAAACCTTGGGGAAATCTTTCTGAGGTTTTCTCTTGATCCAGTCAGTGCTCCTCTCACTTTGCAGGCCCTCCTTCAGCGATGCTCATGACTCCTGGGTATCTATATCTATAGCTGTGACCCCAGCCTGCAGCAGTATCCCTGCACTTACACGTCCTACTACCTACCTGTGGGTCTATACTCGAGTCTTGCAGCAGTCAGAAACCCAACAAATCAAAATTGAGGTGATCATCCTGTTCTTCTCTCTCTTGCTTCCCTAAACCAACTGTTGTTATAGTATATTCCATATCAGCTGAAGACATGGTCATCTACCCAGTCACATAAGCCATAATAGAGGGGTGAAATTTCAGTTTGCCATTTTCCCTCATACTATATCCAGTGTCTCCAAGTTCTGTTGATTTTGCTTTATAAATAACTTCAGTTGGCTCCTTTATTTTCCTGACTCCTAACACAGCCTCAACTCATACTCAAATGCAGAACTGCAGGTAAGACGTATCTGGACACAACATTCCACACCTCTCTCAACTGTCTAGTATTCAAGAAAATAGGACTCCGGGTCTACTTTGCAGTCCAGACCTGATATGGACCTTGTTACACATAGCCCTGCTTTCCTCTGAGCCTATCAACACTCTGCCTTATTTAATATTAACCTAAACTTACCCCAAATCCTATAACTCTGCCTTTCCCTTTGTTTGATGAGATACCCCATGGTTCCCCTGGAATGCAGTCTGTCTCATTGCAATGGATCAATAAACCTAATTTTATTAGACTACAGGTATATTCCTGGAAGTCTTAGGCAACTGGGCTAGAACAAAAATGTACAACATCCATTCTTAATTATTAAATTAATTACTAAAATAGGATAGACAGATGTTATTTGGCCATAATTTTATATACATGTTAAACAAAAACTAATATATACCTAATGATGAAGAAACAGAAGCATTCCTACTAAACATGAAAAAACTTGATTACTATCTATCTTATTTTACAGTGTTTTAGAACAGGTGGCCAATCCAATTATATAAGAAAAATAAGTTACAATATTTAAAGAAATGCCAAAATTACTTTTATTTGTAAGTGATTATACACCTAGGAAATCCATGAGAACCAAATAATAATAAAATATTATGGCCAGGTGCAGTGGTTCATGCCTATAATTCCAGCATTTTGGGAGGCTGAGGTGGGTGGATCACCTCAGGTCAGGAGTTCAAGACCAGCCTGGCCAACATGGCGAAACCCCATCTCTTCTAAAAATACAAAAATTAGCCTGGCTTGGTGGTGCACACCTGTAGTCCCAGCTACTACTCGAGAGGCATGAGAATTGCTTGATCCTGGGAGGTGGAGGTTGCAGTGAGCCAAGGTCGCACCAGAGTACTCCAGCCTGGTGACAGAGCAAGACTGTCTCGAAAATAATAAAAATAATAATAATAGGCCGGGCGCAGTGGCTAACACCTGTAATCCCAGCACTTTGGGAGGCCAAGTCAGGCAGATCACCTGAGGTCGGGAATTTGAGACCAGCCTGACAACATGGAGAAACCCCATCTCTACTTAAAATACAAAATTAGTCAGGCGTAGTGGTGCATGCCTGTAATCCCAGCTACTCGTGAGGCTGAGGTGGGAGAATTGCTTGAACTCAGGAGGCGGAGGTTGTGGTGAGCCGAGATCGCACCATTGCACTCCAGCCTGGGCAACAAGAGCGAAACTCTGTCTCAAAATAATACTAATAATATTACTAATAATAATAAATAAAGTGTAAAAGTGGTAAAATAAAATTCAGTATGAAAGGAAATATTAAAATAAAAAATAACTTTCTTGTATACAAATAATAGTGAGTTAGGGCAATAATAATTAACAAGAATAAATAAAATGTATCATTCAGCAAATGAATAAAAGCTGCATTTAAACCACACTTGTCAAAGTAAAAAATAATGTAAAAAAGACATATTGCCTTGGATAGGAAGACTCAGTATTGTAAAGATGTCAATTCTCCCTAAATTAGTCAATATGCAATTTTTTAACTTGACAAAATGATACTAATCCTCAACTAAAAAATGAAAGTGAGACAGATAAGAAAAATTCTGAGAAAAAAATAATGAGAGTGGATGAGCTCTTCCGGCTATTAAAATGTATGATAAGCTCCTGAACCTTGGCCTTAGCAATGATTTTTTGGCTATCACATCAAAAGCCCAGGCCACAAAGGCAAAAACGAATAAATGGGACTACACCAAGCTGAAAAGCTTCTGCATAGCAAACAAGCAACAAAATGAAATGGCAACCTATGGATTGGAAAAAATATTTGCAAACTATATATCTAATAAGATACATAAAATTGATAAAGAATTCATACAACTCAATAGCAGGAAAACAAATGATCCCATTTAAAAACAGGCAAACATCTGAAAAGACATTTCTCCAAGAAGAAAAATGGCCAAGATGGATATGAAAAGGTATTCAACATCACTAATCACAAGGGAAATGTGAATTGAAACCATTATGAGATACTAGATAATACTAGGATGACTATTATCAAAAAGTCAAAAAATAGTAATAATAAACGTGGATAAGGGTGAAGAGAACAGAGAACCTTTGTGCATTGTTGGTGAGACTGTATAGCCATTGTGGAAAACAGTACGGAGCTTTCTAAATAAACTGAAAACAGAGCTACATATGACCCAACAATCCCTCTTTAGGGGATATACCCAAAGAAGATGAGATAACCACCTTGTATAGATATCTGCGATCCTATGTTCATTGTAGTATTGCAGCCAATACAGGGAAACAACCTAAATACTTGTTGAAAAATGAATGGATAAAGAAATTGATATATATATGTATAATATATATATAATATTCCATCATATATATATATAAGGATTAAAGAAATGCCAAAATTACTTTTATTTGTAAGTGATTATACACCTAGGAAATCCATGAGAACCAAATAATAAAATATATTAAATATAAGATTAAAACCATAATATATATATATATATCATGGAATATTATTCATCCCAAAAAGAATATCTTGCCATTTGCCACAACATGGATGAAACTGGAGGACATTAAGTGAAATAAGGCAGACACAGAAAGAAAAGTATTACATGATTTCACTCATATGGGGAATCTAAAGAAAACATTCAAATACAGGTATACAGAGATAACAAAACCTGAGGTGGAGGGTGGAGAGATGTAGGTCAGAGGATACAAAGCAGCAGACAGGAGGGCTAGGCGCAGTAGCTCAGTCCTGTAATCCCAGGACTTTGGGAGGCAGAGGTGGGCGGATTGCTTGAGCCCAGGAGTTTGAGACCAGCCTGGGCAACATGACAAAACCCCATCTCTGCGAACAACAACAACAAAACACACACACACACACACACACACACACACACAATTAGCGAGGCCTGGTGGTGCCCGCCTGCAGTCCCAGCTACTCAGGAGGATGGATTGAGCCTGGGAGGTCGAGGCTGCAGTAAGCAGTGATTTGATAGTGCCACTGCACTCCAGCCTGGGGACAGCAGACCCCGCCTCAAACGAAACAAAACCGAGTAGCAGATATGTATGATAAACATGCTAGAGATCTAATGTACAACACAAGGACCCAGTATAGGTTATAAATTCTACTTTATTTGGGATTCCTTGCTTCACTGTAGTAATCTTTTTTTATTTATTTTATTTATTTATTTATTTATTTTTTTGAGACGGAGTCTCTCTCTGTCGCCCAGGCTGGAGTGCAGTGGCACGATCTCCACTCACTGCAAGCTCCGCCTCCCGGGTTCACGCCATTCTCCTGCCTCAGCCTCCCGTGTAGCTGGGACTACAGGCGCCCGCCACCGCGCCTGGCTAATTTTTGTATTTTTAGTAGAGACAGGGTTTCACCGTGTTAGGTCAGGATGGTCTCGATCTCCTGACCTCGTGATCCGCCCGTCTCGGCCTCCCAAAGTGCTGGGACTACAGGTGTGAGCCACCGCACCCGGCCGATCTTTTCTTATTTTTAACTACATAGGTATCTCATAACATGTTGTATACCTTAAATATATTCAACGAAGCTTATTTTAAAAAATGAAATGTATAATGATGACTGGAAAGGGTGGTAGTCACATGGAAATAATGAAGCAGAATAAAAGTTCCAGATATTAAATGCAAATGAGAATTTAGTACATGATAAAGCTGGCATTATACTCTGGGGGGGGATAGACAGGCTACTCATTAAAGTGCTTAGAAGCAAAGCGGCTGAAAATTTTGGCACAGAAGAAAATCTCGTGGACCTCTAACTCACTGGTTAAAGTAAAAACTTTCAAAACGTATTAAAGGTTTAAATATAAAATTAAAACCATAAAAACATTATTATGTTAACATATTTCTTATATAGTAAGTACTTGGGAAGATTTTCTAACATTCCACAAACCTAGTAGCAATTAAGGAAAATATTAATTTCAGATCATACAAAATTCAGAAGTCCTGCAGGACAAAAATAAATAAAATGTGAAGATTTTTAAGAAAGAACAAAGGGCTAATCCATATTTTGAAATCAGTATAAAAAGACGAACAGAATTTGAGATGGGAGCGCGGCCAGCTCTGCGGGGCCCTCCAGGCCCTCCGCCCTGTAGAACCCAGAGCCCTGGCCGTGGCTGCCCCGCCGGTCCCATTTCTTGAAGCAGCGGCGAACCGCTTTTCCCCACCCGACCGGCCGGCTGCCAGGTCTCCCCGCCCAACCTTGCCAGGCTCAGACGAAGCTTCCGCCGAGCCGCCTGGACGCAGCGCCCTGGGTGGCAGCAGGTGTGGCAGGGCGGGAAGCAGGGAGGCAGCCCCAACGCCGCGGAGGCCATTAGAGGGTGCGGAGGCCCAGGAAAGCGGGTCTACGCGCAGGCTCAGCTGCCCCTGTAGGCCGTGGAGCCGCGCAGATCCGGATACTCGGGTGGCCGCAGTGTCCCAAGTGGGCGACACTCACCTAGTCCCGAGGACAACCGACAAAGTCCTTAATGGGCCCAGAAGGTGAGAGGAGTCTGGCAATGAGGGGTGGAAGGGTTAGCGGCCATCGCCCAGCTGGTTTTCCTTCTACCAGACGCTGGTGCCGGAAAACAGAAGTGGAAGAATAACTTGGCGCTATTAGGCCCATCGGAAAGGCCCACCAACCTTTGGGACGATTATTGGCTGTTTACAGAAGGCCCGTGTGTATCCTATGAAAAAGCTGCTCTCAGCTTCCCCCCAGCCTTTTAAAAGAAAACATTTGCTACATCCAACCCTTCTAGGTGTAAAGAGGTTGCGACTTATGAGAGTTAGAGAATCACACATCTTGTAAATTTCCATTTGTTAAAAATAATAATAACAGGACATAAATGGCTTCTGGAGATGACTTTTTGCAATGAAGTTGTTAGACCACCTCTGGAAGTGACAGCAGGAGCCACACATCCACATTTATTAAGTGGGTTAGAGCAGGAGTCCCCAACCCCTGGATCTAGGTTGCATGCTCCTTATGAGACTCTAATAATGCCTGATGATCTGAGGTGGAACAGTTTCATCCTGAAACCATGCCCCTACCTTCCATGGAAAATTTGCCTTCCCTGAAACCAGTCCCTGGTGCCAAAGAGTTTGGGGACCTCTGGGTTAGAGGATATGGGGCAGAAGACCTGAGAAGGAAGATAGGACAGTTCTGTGCCACACTGGTCATATTTAGAAGACATTTTCATATTCCAACCATTGTTCTGTGTGTGCATTTTATTTCTCACTACTGTATATGTAGTTGACAATATTAAGTATTTTTTGAACTATACTCTTTCTAGATGTTCTGAAATGCTTATGTTAAAATTAGAGGTGGTAAAATAACACATTTTGTAAATCTTTTTGTTAAAATTCATATGTAATGTTTTGGTGGAGGGGGGGAATGGCCAAATCACCTGTTAATATTTTTAAATTCGGACTCATTTGTCCAGTATATAACACAATATATAGTATAGCAAAGTTACATGCAATGCATTTAACATATAGGGCAATGGATAAACTGAAATTTTCTAGTACACAATAGCAAAACACCTTTTGTGAGCCCAAAGACATTTGGGCTTACCAAATGTTGCATGGAGGTAAGCCCAAAGTGCACCTGTGTGCACTGGTTCAGGGGAGGAGAGAGGAAAGGAAGTGCCAATGTGCTTATAGTGAGGCAAGGTTAACCATTGTCTCGTCTGGGCATTTTGTTTTACTTATCTGGGTATATTGTGTATATAAAGGACAAATGAGTCCTGACTTTACAACATCTGGTCTTTCTAGATGTTAAAGAGGTTGCCAGTGTATGACAAAAGTAGAGTTAGTAAACTAATATATTTTGTGCATTTCGTTTTAACATTCCCAGGAAAGACTGTCTTCTGAAAATTTGAGCACTATTGCTCAGTGGGTTGATGGAGATGGGAAGGTGTAGGCCAGAATGTTCATATTTGGAAGACTCAGTCATAACTGTTTTTACGTGTGTTCACTTTATTCAAGACTTCTGTGCATATAGTGGACAAATTAACTTCTTACCTGAAACATCTTGTCTATTTAGATGTTCAGAATTGCCTGACATATGTTAAGTGTAGAGGTAGTAAAATATCACCTTGTAAATATCTTTTTGCTAAAATTCTTAGGAAATACTGTCTTTTAGAAGTGGAATTGTGAAGCCACCTCTGTGAGCAGTGTAGTACTGTCTATACTTGTTTAATGGTTTAGAAATGGGAGGGAAGAAATCACCAAAGGTAATAGGCTAGTGTGTTCATACTTGGACATTTCGCTCGCCATTTTTCTGTATGTTTTGTGCATTTTGTTTTGCTGTGTGTGTAAAGTACATAATGGACAAATGAGTCCTAATTTTGCAACATTTGGTCTCTAGATGTTTAAGAAGTTGCCAGTGTATGACAAAGTAACTAGTAAAATTAGCACATTTTGTACACTTTGTGTTGAAATTCATAGGAAAGCTTGTCTTCTGTAAATGATTTTTGGGTATTAATTTGTTCAACCATCTCTAAGCATTACAAATGCATGTACCTGTCCACTGGATTGAAGACAGAGAGGAGGAAATGAGGAAGGACTGGTTCAAGGTCAAAATTGTCATATTTAGAAGATACCTCAGATTATAGCCATTGTTACATATGCAATTTTATTTTACAATGCTATGTACACAGTGGAAAGTTATATGAAATATCTGGTCTTTCTAGATAGTTAGAAATGCTTGATGTATTTAAAAGTAGAAATAGTATAATAACACTTTTTGTAAATAGCTTTTAAAAACTGATGGGAAACACTGTGTTTGAAAGTGGGATTGTTAAATCACCTCTGTGAACAGTGTTACTTGCTCATTCAGTTGAGGAAGGTGAGAGGGAAGAAATTACAAAAGGTGTTTTGCTATTGTGTACTAGAAAATTTCAGTTTATCCATTGCCCTATATGTTAAACGCATTGCATGTAACTTTGCTATACTATATATTGTGTTATATACTGGACAAATGAGTCCTAATTTAAAAATATCTACTCTTTAGATATTAAAGAGGTTGCCAATGTATGACAAAAATAGTAAACTAACACATTTTGTACACTTTGTGTAAAAGTTTATAAAAAGACTATCTTCTGAAAAGGACTTTTGGAAGTGAAATGATAACATCAACTCTAAGTGGCACATGGCCCATATCCACCAGGTTGGTGGTGCAGAGGAGTTGGAAGAAATGAAGGATTCTAGATCAGAATGTTCCTATTTAGAAAACATTTCAAGATACAACCATGTGTGTAGTTCATTCAACCCTACTGAGGCAGGAGAATAGGGCCTGGAGGCAGGAAACATAAAGCAGATTCGTGCAGACTTCCTAGAACTAAATGAAATGGAAACACATCAGCTATCAGAGGAAATATATTTTCCATTTACATTGGGCATACACAGAGTAAATGACTGTTTTATTTCATCCTGTCTATTTACATAGGGCATATACCAAGTACACGACTTTGTAACTTTATTTCATCCTCTTCATTTACATCGGGTGTATACCAAGTAACCAATGGAAACCTTGAGAGGGTATTTAAACCCCAGAAAATTCTGTAACTGGACTCTTGAGCCCCTAAGTGCAGGCCTTCTCCCACCCTGTGGAACATACTTTCATTTCATAAATCTCTGCTTTTGTTGCTTCATTATTTCTTTGCTTTGTGTGTTTTGTCCAATTCTTGGTTCAATATGCCCAGAACCCAGACACCCTCCACTGGTAATGTATTTTGGCAAGCCAGCCAGGAGGTAAGCCCAAAGTTTGGGATTTTTCATCTTTTCCTTTCCACTCCATACAGGAGAATCTCTCCCTCCCTCTCTCTTTTCCTTTCCAACTTGGGACCCTTGGTGGGCAGCACCTAAACACGGAGGCAACTGTAGGTTTCTGGGTGGGGCCACCCTGAAGGACTTTTTTCTATCTGTTCTGGTTGTGGTCCCTGATTCCTACGTATGGCGCAGCTCAGGGCAAACTTGCAGCTCAGGGCGAACTTGCACATGTTTCAGGCGACGGAAACCTTCTTTTCTAGGCTAACTTCTTCCCTTACCCTACTTGACTGGCTGAGGACAAAAGAAGCCTACCCAGCTTCCAGCTCCTGTCATTACAGTTCATGGCTATCACTCTAGTGGAACAGGAAGCATGGGCTAGCATGGCCGTATCAAATTATAAAGATGCTAATCGTTAGTGATTACACCCAGGAACCAAAGGAAAGCTCACAATAGGCCATTGCCTCTGGAGGGAAAACATGCAAAGCGGCACTGGTGCCCACCTAAGGTCAGAGATGCCTGACACTCTTGAGACTGGACCCCAAAGGGGGTTCCCCAGGGGATCCTCCAGACCTCAGCCTCTCCAAAGGGGATGCCCTTGGCAGCAGTTCTAAGGACTAGTACTAAACCCTCCTTAGAATTTTCTCTTGCAGTTGCAATACTGTTTGGCCCCAATATGGTTTGGAATCTGGCATTTGCTGTTGAATGGGAAAGTGGGATGCAGTTACATGTATACAGGCTTTGGTGCTGCTGTTCTAAGCAGGGGCAGGCCTAGTTAGTATGTGATATTCTCCTTTGGTGCTGTTTGACCCCAGTGTTCTTTCGAGTCTGGGGAGGTTTGGCCTTTAAAAATCAAACTGCCATGGAAATTGCTTTACCTGACATAATGGTTCACAGCCTTCATTGGATTACTTATTGGGTAAACGGAGTAAAATTGGCAAGCTTGTATTACTATCTAATGGTTAGGGTTCCAAGGTAAAAGCTATTGAATCTTCATTTGTGTGTGTATATACATGTCTAGATGTGTTTATTTATATGCACACTTGTTATATGTTATGTCTTGGTTTATAAGTAAGAGAGCACTCATAAATTAAGTAAATAAGTCTAAGCAATTTTCAGGTTCACGTGACTTAAGTATAACTTTCCTAAACAAGCTAGTTTTAAAATTATTGGTAAAGTAAAAATAGAAATGCCTTCAGAATTATCAGCATACATTTTTGTCTGGATTTTATATTTGTCTCTCTTAGATATTTTGAGGTGTTAGGGTTTGGCATAGAGGGTTATAAAACTATAAACCCAGCCAAAACAAAATGATCTTGGTTTGTGTGTCTTTTTCTTTTTTTTTTTTTTGACAAATGGGCATAATTTAATGTTAGCTAAATCTTCTGGGTGACTGGCAAAAATACCTATGGATTTAACTTTGAGGCTCTTACTTAGGTTTAAGTGAGCACCCGATATTCACTGGCTATTCAAAACGTGGTTAACAAGGAAATAACTGACTTTAAATGATAGTATCTAATATCTCAGTTTACAGAGGTCATCTAGATAAACTGTTAAAAGTGAAAGAATTGAGTACAGTGAATGGGACAAATGTTTTAGGTTTTGTGTAAAGTCTTAAAATTATTTTTGATACTCATTTAATATCTGGGCCATTTCCAATTAAGAAAGGTTGTGATATGGGGAAATATGTTTCTAAAATTGTGGAATTGTTCTTATCTATAAATTCCTGTATCTGATAGTTCAGGATTTCTTGCTTTTTAGTGTTTCACTAAAGTTTTAGGTTACTAAGGATAAGAATTCTAGTTGATACATAATTCTGTATACAAAACATGCCAGAAAAGTTGTGTTATTAGTGAGAAAAAGAATAATTTTGTCTAATTTAGAAGTTACCTAAAAGTTAGTTCAAATTAGAGATTTGAAAAGGTTACTTATGAAACAACGTATTAAGGAACCAGTAAGTAGAGGAGAAAGATGTAGAAAAAGTTGAGATAATAAAATATTCTTTAAAACCTGATAGAGAATTGGAGACATTTGGCTAATTAACATTTTCATAGTTAAAGCTCTTAGTCTTGATTAAAGTAAAATAAGCATTGTAAAGAAATGCATTAGCAGTTTGGCAATTCCTTTTTAATACAGTTAAGCATGAAGCTGGATTTAGTGTGAAGCCAAATTTCACATATATGCTTGCATTGCTTCACACTGTTTACTGCTTTGTGTGGACAGTGCTGGCACTGGAGTACTTATTGGCTATGGGCCTAGAGTGTATTTCTTGATTGCACAGGATGTATGGTGATATTGGTGAACTTAAGGATACTGAATTGTGTATCAGGAATAAAACATTCATTATGTGGGTTTTGGGGGGCCCTGGGTAAACACTATAGCCTCCAGGGTAGATTGAGAAGGAAAAATTTAGGGTTGGGTTCCTATTTGTTTTTGCTTCTAATTTTCATTTGTTTGCTATTTATTCTCCTCTGGCTTTGCTTGTGTATGCATATATAAAACCACATATATATATATGTATTTTAAAAATTTCTAGTGGAAGGCTTTTATTTGGTTCTGTGAATAGTTATTTTGTTCCCTGTGCATTTCTAGCAAGTCATCATTTGTTCCATTTATCTGGAATTCCTAGGCTACCTTTGTCAGGCTGCAAGGAATTGATGGAGCACACTAGCTTTTTAACTTTTAACTAACTTGTTGGATTTTAGGCTTCCTGGTAATTTAAATGTGTTGAGTATATTTTCATAAACAGAATTTCAATCATATTTCTCTCTCTGCCCATTTTCTCCAAAATTCATAAACTATCTGTGAATATTCTTAATTCATGGCAATGTATTTGTTTGCATATAGTCAAGCAGGGTTCCTAGGGCCACTTTGGGAGACAGAACCCAGAAACATGGCATACTGGCAAAAGGGTAAGAATTTCTTACCAGCCAGACTCTGGTCTCTGTCTCTCTGTGCAAACTGGTTAAATGAATGGTAAAAGTCACTGTTTGTCTCCTCTGTAAAGTTTTGATTAATACAAAAAAAGAATTCTGAGGCTGGTCTTAAACTGTAGTGAATCTGGTGTGCTTTGTGTCTTTCTGTATTGTTCTGTCATAAAGAGGGGTACCTTAGAATAAAATGTGTGCTTAGGACCCCATAGGCCTGCTGTTCAAGATATCCCAGCAGACTGATCAGTCATGTCTTTGGGAGCCTGACCTTGTAACCATGTGGCCATGCTTTCTCTTTTTACAGTGGCAGCCTGGGTTTAGGGTTCAATTCCCGGCTTAGGGAATGAATCCTTTATTTTCTGTCTGTGTATTTATATGTGCTGTGTGTGTACTATAAAAGAGCATCAATTAATTGGTTTAATAATAATAAGAGCTCATATCAAATATTTTGTCAGAAAAGTAAAAAATGTAATGCCTTTTATTTACCTCATGTGAGTTAAGTAATCTTTGGAAAATAAAGACATTCTTAAAGATTATTGGTAAAATAAAAATATCTTCAAAATGCAAATATTTAGTCTAAATTATGCAGGTCAGATATTCGGTGTGTGAAATGCTTTAAGGTCATAAGCTGCTTCTTTGACTTTTAAAAATTGCTCAATTTATTTTGGAGCATTAGATTCTAGATAAGGCCTGGGGACAAATAGAATTAGCTATGCCCCCTAGCTATGCAAAGAAAGTTATAAAGAAAGGAGATTTTATATAAGAAAGGATTTTATATCATAAATTCTTATCCTAAAGTAAAATAAGTGGTTGTTAAAAAAAAGGGATGTTTAGGACAAGTTAGAAAGTCCAAACATGTCATAGATGGTCTGTGTAAGTCATGAAATAATTTACAAAAGAGAATGTATGCAAGAAATATACAATTTAACGGTGATTAAGACTCCTAAATGCTTCATAAAATGCCACTATGACTCTTAACTGTACAACTTGCCTGCTTTACAGCTAGGTAGATGCTGGAAAGAGTCAGACCTTATGTGTACTTCTGTCTGGGTCCTAGACTCCACACCTAATAAATAATTAAAATCCTGAACTTACTAAGGTTTTCACCAAAAGTAAAACTCGCTAAGAGTTAACATCATAACATGTGAGACTACTGAAGCAACAGTTTTACATGCAGGGTATGTAAGAAAAGTGAATGCATTTTCAGTGAAAGATTATAACAAGGCATGGGAATGTAGATTTTGTTTTTTTGCCTAAAGGGTTAAAGGATTGTTTTAAGTTCAGACAAAGCTAAAAGTTTGAATGAGTTGTGGAAGATTTATAAATATTAATATTGTAAAAAATTATGTGTGTGAACATATTGACTGAATTTAAAGGGGTATTTTCTGTTTTTTCCATAAATTGAACATCAAAATAAAAGCACAAACAGGGTTTTCTTAAAGCACTGATCTGCTCTTTAACAAAAATTTCTAAAGGGTTATATAAGGTTTATGAGAATCTCACCTTATGGTCAAACCAATTAAGATTGGAAAGATATGTCTACAGGGTTTTCTTAAAAATTGGGGTTGACATTAATAGTACACTAACGCAAAGGTGAAATTTGACTTTCTCTCTTGAACAAGATTTTCATGCAATATTAAAAGATGATGAAAGATTTTTGTTTGCCTTTTGAATAAACTACCCCCCCCCCACACACACACACACCAAAAAAAAGGAAGGGAAAGACAAGACACAGATTGTTTGGAAAGTAAGTCTTCCCTCTATCAACAAGTAAAGGTTTTTGCCTTTTAACACATTTTTGAGTCATCATTTTGCTAAATGAATGACTATGGTAACCTGGAATTCTATTTCATAATATCGAGTGTTTTAAATCTTTTACCATTTTTAATAGGCTTCCCAAAATCAAATTTCAGCTTCAAAATTGTTTTTTCTAACCTCTAACTTTGAGATGCTGCAGAGGGCCCCTAAAGCATCCAAAAGAGAGGTGAACAGAATTATTTGGCATGTTCAGTTACATGGGAAGCAATGTCAAAAATAAAAAAAAATTGATCTTCTTCAGGTTATATTTTAGTGAATAATATTAATATATGTTCCAAAATTGTATGAGATTTCTAAAATTCTAATATGTCTGAGTATATGCTATCAATCATAATTATGTAGACCACAGAAATAACTAAATTTCCTTGTCGATTATGTTTTTAACTATAACTATTTAAAGTCATTTCCACAGTTAATTGCTTAATATTGATGCAGTTTCTGAAAACTTCACAAGCATGCAAAGTCCTAGAATATGGTATCTTTTAGGAGATTCATAAAAGATTGGAAGGGACCCTAAAAAAGCACTCTTGAATACAGGTTTCTAATAAGTTTAGAATCATGTCATTTGAACTGGGTAAGAATTGCTGGAACTTTAATGAAAAGACTGACTGGGTTGTAAAACTGCTAATCCAACTAGAACAAAAATTAATTAAATACCAAGAAAATAATTTGCCAGATTTTCATGCTAAATTAGCTGATACTGAAACTGTTTAGATATACAATTTGATACATTCCATCATCTAAATCAAAATACCTATAATAACCTATCAGTTATCAGTGTTATGCACCTAATTTGGGGAAACAACTGGTATTCAAGAGGATATAAGTCTAATGTTAATTAAGCATGAACTCATGGAGAACCAGGATGGCCACCTTTTCCTTCCTCAGTCCTTAAAGCTTTTGTTAGTAAAATTTCTGCATTATATGACTCGTCATGGAAAAGATGAAATGAATATGTTGATGTGGTGACTTATAAATTGCTAAAATAGTTTATAACAAATGTTTGGTCCCATATTTCTGGGAAAACAATAAAAGCTTCAGGTACATCCGGTCACCTGATGGGCCATTTAAACATTTTATAGAGGGATTTAATTCAATTGTTATTTTCAGTGCATGTTTTCTGGTTGTATAAAAGCTTTCCCATGCAAGAGGGCTGATGTTATAACACTAAGTTATTATGCCACCATGTATTTTCACAAGGTAAAGACAGCTTTTTATGGTTCACTAAGGACAATCAACTCCTTCACAACCTAGAACCCGAAGATTGGATCTTCTGAGAACATCAGATAAAGACTGTCCTTGCCATCCACACTACAGCAAAACTTCTGGACCTTGCACTTTGGGTTCATGATCTCACAACTGAGAAGAGTGCCTCCACACTCTTGGACCTGTACACCCATTGGAACCCTTAAGGTAAGGCTAACCAGGGAAGCTTCTCTTGAAGAAGAAGATGGCATCCTTGATGTGAACAGCTTTTCCCAAGATCATGAATCAAGACTTCTCTATTATCATGAGACTCTTATCTTTGAATATTTTTTCCTTGCTTATGCCTCTATGAAAAATAGAAGTGGAAAATGGATCTGTTGTGTACACTTATGGGGTATACTTTTATTTGTGAAGAATTTTGCAGCCAGCTTTAGGTCCCTTTTCCATGATTTGGAATAAAAGATGCAATGATTAGAAATCTATCCCTCATAATAGGCTCTATAGCAGTTTACTACAAAGGTTATGGATGCATAATAGACTAAATTCTCTTAAGAAAGTTATGCTAAATAATAGAATTGGCTAAACAGAAGAGTATCTGTGCAGCTGCCGGCACTCAAGGCCTATGGAGAAAACATCAGGTATTACCGAGATTCATTTGTAGCGAATTAATGAAGAGACTGCTTAGTTAAGTGAGTAGACTCTTTATCTAGCTCATTCTTTCATCTATTTGAGTTTAGGAGGTTTGGTTTATGGGGACCCTGGATAAGGAGTGTACTCACAACTTTGGTATTATCCTCCTGATAGTCATAATAATAGTCTCCCTGGTGTGCTATATTCTCTCAAAGGTTTTAAATGTTTGCATACAGCCATCTCTAGAATGTCAAATGGTCTCTGTCAAACTGGAATGACAAGAACTGAAAGAAATGTGCGACCGTGAGGACACTGTAACCTATGAATGATGTGCTGAGACCAAAAACCCAAAATGTTGGTAACCGAGAGTGGTGCTAAGTAAGGCCCTAAGTTTTGGTCACACTCTAAGTTAAGTGAGAACCTGACCGAAAAAGGGAAATTTTTTTAAACAAAATTATGGGAGGCCATTTTTTTTTGGACTAAGCTCATGCACTAGGCCCCAACAGACTAAACCAAACCAAAATGGAGTCACCTATGCTAAGACCTTAAGCAAACACATAGATCCTAAAACAGACCACAGGCCAGGTTTTGTTTTTCTCCTACAAATCTCTATAACAAACATTCCTGATAGCATATGTATCCACCCTCTGAAGTTCCCATTAAATCTTTTAACCAAATTCATTTCCTCTCGCCAAAAGACCATAAAGCTTCAGATGATCATACAACAAAAGTTCCAGCCGTTTCCACCACCCCTGGCCATCAGGGAGCTACCCTGCCTTCACTAGACAGAGCAGGGTAGGAGTTCCGTGATCCTCAATAGGCAGGGACTACACCTCAAGGCAGCATGCAGCAGTTACAGGAGAAAGACCATTGGCCCCTCCACCTCCCATAAAGATTTATAGGGATCACATCTCTGGAGGAAATGAGGCAGAAGAATAGGATCTGGAGGCAGGGAATATACAGCAGATGCATGCTGACTTCCTAGAACTAAATAAAATGGAAACACTTCAGCTATCATGGGAAATGCCTTCTCTATTTACATAGGGCATACCCTGAGTAACCATTGGAAACCTCTAGAGGGTATTTAAACCCCAGAAAATTCTGTAACTGGGCTATTGAGCCCCTATGCTCAGGCCCTCTGCCACCCTGTGGAGTGTACTTTCATTTTCAATAAATCTTTGCTTTTGTTGCTTCATTCTTTCCTTGCTTTGTGCATTTTGTCCAATTATTTGTTCAAGAAGCCAAGAACCTGGACACCCTCCAGTGCTAACACTAGTGTGCATATAGTGGACAAAATTAAGTCCTTATTTGAAACATCTAGTCTTCTAGATGTTTAGAAGTGCACAAAGTATGTTAAAAGTAGAGGTAGTAAATAACAAATTTTGTAGATACCCTTTTGCTTCTTATGAAATACTGTCTTTTGGAAATTGATCAAACCACTTCATATTATATTTATGCTGATTCAGGGAGGAAGGAGCAGAAGAAAGTGCAAAGGGCTTTATACCAGCGTGTTTACAGTATGACACAATTGACTATTGTCCCTTATATCTGCATTTCCTTTGACTTTGCTTTGTATATAAACAAACATTTACATAGCTTCAGGATTTTGAATTGGTAAATATTCATGATGTGTGAAAAAGCGTGATACATACTGTATGATCCCAATCGCATAACATTGGATGGTGTCCTAATTTATAATATCTAGTCTTTCTGGATGTTAAAGAGGTTGCCAGCATATAACAAAACTAGAGTTAGTAAACTAATACATTGAGTACACTTTATGTTAAAATTCATAGGAAAGATTGTTCTTAAAAACACTTCAAAAGTAGAATTGTTAAAATTCCCTCTAAGTATTAGAGATGTTTATACCTGTCCACTGGGTTGATAGAGGTAGGAAGGGGAAGGGTTCTAGGCCTTGTTCCTATTTAGAAGACACATTCAAATTATAGCCTGTGCTTTGTATGTGCACCATTTATTCAATGCTACTGCGTATAAAGTGGAAAACTCAAGTCCTATTTAAAACTCCTAGTCTTTCTAGATGTTTAAAATTGCACAATATAGATTAAAAATAGAGGGCTAAAGTAATACCCTTTATACATTTTTGTGGTGGTTGTTATTTCCTAGGACTGGTTGCATTTGAGAATGGAATTTTTAAACTTGATGCTGACTGTTCATTGGGTGGCGGCAGGCGGGAAGAGGAGGAAGTATGCAGGGAGAAGGGTTCTGGGCCCGTGAATTAGATTAGTTCAGATAGTCTAGCCATTGTTCTGTATGTGAATTTTAGTTAATATTGATGTGTTTTAAAGAATAAACAAGTCTTAATGCTCAAGGTAGTTTAAAAGTAGAGGTAGTAAAATATCCCTTTATAAATGTCCTTTTGTTAGTTTTTAGGAAGACCTGTCTTCTGGGAGTAACCTTTGTTAATCCACCTCTTGGAGCTAGACATAGTCCTGTACTTAGTCACTGGCATGGGAGAAGAGGAAGGGTGAAGGGAAGGGCTTTTCACTAGTATCTCCATATCCAGAAGATAGTTTGAGATGACAGCCATAGGTCTGTCAGCATTTTGGTAAAGTGCCCGCATTTATTGTGGACAGAGTTTATTTTTTGGAACACCTAACTTTTATGAATGTCCTGAGGTGACAATGTATGATTAAAAATAGAGCTAGTGAATTAGCCAATTTGTAAATATGTTTTTGTTATAATCGATAGAAAAGATGCATGTTGGACATGGAATTGTTAAACCACCACTGAGCAGTGTATATCAGGACTTGTTCATTAGGTTGGCAGCAGAGGGGCAAAAGGAAGTATAAAGGGGGGAGAGATATATGCAGATATACATTTACATTTTGATGATAGCCACTGATGTGTATGTGCATCTCTTTTGGCTGTACCATAGGAATACATTAAGTAATTCAATGAAAATATACCTTCTTGCTAATATTTTAATGGTATAGATCTGCTAATGAATTCTCTTAGAAACATACTTAGTGTATTCTGTTGCTTTATGTTTCATTTTAAATTGAACATTAAGGGAATGCAGTATTTTAATTGGAACTTTGCCAATGCTTTTATCTGGAGGTGTGATGCCATTTTTGTCTTTTATAAAATTTTTGTCCCAAGAAAGGCAGGATTATATTTTTTCTTAATAGATTGAGTTGGTGTAGTGTTTCCTTGACTATCAAAATACTCATATAGCTTTAGGATTTTGAATTGGTAAATATTCATTATGTGTAAAAAAGCATGACACATAAAATTGCATGATCTCAATCCCATAAATTTGGATGTTGTGTCTATACACACACAGGACCTAGAAGGACAAGTCAAACTGTAAACTGCCTGTGATTGTGGATGACTTTGCTCTTTGCTTCATGTGTTTTCCAGTTTCCTAAAATGCACATGTTAGCTTTTAAAAAATAAAGGATATTTTAAAAACCTTAAAAAAGATATGAACATTGTGATAACAGGCAAAAAATACTAGAGACAGTTACTAGATAACATACATAGAACCAACACACATCTAAAATAGGAAGCGACTCACTCATAACTAAAGAAATAGAATACATGAGAACATGCATTTTTTTTTAGATCAGCTAAAGTTAAAAAACTGCTAACATGCAGAGGTGGGAAAGGAACAGAGAAAACGGTTACTGTTACTACTTTTGATGTGACTCTAGATTGGAGAAATCTTTCCCTAGAGGGACGTTTTGCCAAATCTATTATCCTTCAAATGCATATGTCCTTTATTCTCGATTGCACTTCTACGAATATATCCCACGGAAGTACTCTCACAGAGTGTTTATAATAAGGTAAAAAAAATATGAAATCCTAAATTTCCATCATTAGAGGACCAGAGTAATTTAGGACATATCTCAACACTGGAATACCTACCCCGCAGCATTTACAGAGAGTGCAGTAGAGCTATATGAACTGCTGGGGAAAGGTGGTTCAGTAAAACAAGTTTCATAATCAGATGTATACTATATAATCATATATTTGAATAAAAATCATGAACATATATGCTTGCGTGTGTGTGAAAGGACAGTTACATATAAGCAGTAGCCTTGGAAGGACAGAGAACAAAATAATCATTTTAATTTTGCATTTTTATATACCATTCAACTTCTCAAAATCAAGATCTATTACCTCAATTACTTTTTTCAAGTGGCTCTCAGGGAGAAGTTAAATAGTAAAATAATCTGAATTTTGCAATTCCTGGTATTATGCAATTGTGTATTTTAAGGTCTAAGGAAAGTATGCCCAGATAATTCTACAAAGGTCCCAGCTAGATTCTGTTAATATCAGGAAGGATTTAAAGTAGAAGAGGCCCCTTCTGTGTTTAACAGACAAAAAGTTATACTTGAATGTGAAGGAAAAAGTGCCATTGGGTGGAAAAGGCTGGGAAAGATGAACAGAAGTGAGTGGAATGTTCCCTTGTAGAACACCATGGTGGCTCTTCTCGTCTACATCACTGTAACACCAGCATGTGCACTTCCACATGCCAGTGAGCAGTAATGACAGCACGCTTTGAGTAAAGCCAGGACAGCTGTGGCTGACACCATTTTCCTTCTTCCCCCAGG